AGAAATAACTAGCACCTTCAAAGACAAACTGATTCAGGGCCAACAGAGCAGCCTCTCTGCTTGAAACAACTGAGCAGGAACAAAGGTGGAAGTGAAGACCTATAATTATTGCTAAGCAGTGACACAACTACTGACTAAATGCATGGAACAGATACTACATGGATCGTGTCTGTTTAGTTTTTTAGTGTATGCTGTGCCATATGTTTTCACTTAGCTTGAAAAAAAAAACAACTACAGCAACTCTCCCGTCCTCATTACATGGAGAAGATGCCAGATACTAGCTACTCTTTCTTATGAAAGCCTTTTATATTCTTCAAACCACATGTACTGAGAAATTCTATTAATAGTCAGGTATTTCTCCAGTCTTGTTTGTTGCCCTTCTCCAAATAACTCTTTCCTTTTGCTTTAGCTACAGAGGTAAATTTGGGGAGGAGGCCCTCTGGGATTAATAATCTCACTAGCAGTATAAACAATTTTTCCATTGCTTATTCATTGACAAATTTAACCCTGAAAGCAGTGTACATGCTAGAGGGTCTCTAACTACGTGGACAGCACGAGCATATTCATACCTCCATAATTTCACTGACAATGCACTGCTAAAGAAGAAATTTCAATTTAAATTTTTTAAAAATCTCCACATCACTCATTTAAGAACCTGAGATTGCTGCGGTCTCCTTGCTCCTGACTGAAAAAAAGTTGCAACAGCAGGCTTGGTGGGTGCTGGGAAAGAAGAGTTCCTACAAGGAAATTAGATCCTCGCAAATGGTGAAACATGGGAGGCACTCTAACATCCCAGTTAATGCCAAAACAATAGCCTGGGACACAGGAGGGTGCTCAGCAGCCTGAGCCGTCCCCCACAGGACATTCTGACATTTACAGCTTTTAGAGTTCCAACTTCTTGTTACAGTTTGCTCTTCTTGACAACGCAGAGTTGACCAATTTCATCACGTTCCCCACTCTGGCTACATACACACTAATAAACAAACTGGCAGCAGGGCACGGGCCCACACTGTCCCACACAAGTCCATACCATTAAAGGGTTAGCACAGTCCCAGATGTGTTCACCAGGGCCAACAAATATCCTCCTCTAAAATTCTCACGCATTCACAGGCTAATAGAGGCCAGTGACCTTTCTTGATAGGAAGCCTGGACATAACCACTCTGTTGGGGGGGGGCGGGCAGGGAGTTAATCTGTTTGAACAATGAGCTCAACAGCCTTCAGGACCAGAGGACAACCATTTTATTTATTAATAGAGATGCAGTCATTATTTCCAAGCACTTACAGTGGCCCATCCTGTTTCCAGACTCTGTAAGTCACATAGTAGGAGACAGCAAGTTCGACGTGGCAAAAGCATCTCATTTTTTTAAAGTAACTGCAGTCAGACGTGACACTGGCCTGTTTGTCAACACAGTCATTCTTCATTTAGAAAATCTTGATCCAGATTCTGAAAGATAATCTGCATAGCAGAAATCTCTGGGCAGAACCTAGAACCACTGTTGCATGGAAGGCCAAACTAAATAATGGCAGTGACCCTTTATGGTGTCAAAACCTAACATCTCTTCACACCTCTTCATATCTATTCCTTCTCCTATTCTCTGCACACAGAGAAAGCCAGAGTTTCCACAAGGGCTACAAACATCTCTGATGAATGCAATGACACCTTCAGTCTGCTGGATCAGCCCCAACACTCCTGACAGCTCTCAGCTCTGCTTTTGTCCCAGGTTGCTGAGTATTGGGATCGAGTAATTAGGATAAATCCTTCATTCAAATCTTCGTTGAACCAAAACTCTGCCCATGTAAGACAGATTAAGAAAAAAGTATGACCACTGCTCTTAAATTCCTCTTCATCTAGTTCTAATACCTTGTAGGGGACTCTCACAACCACTGTTCAGAGTTTGCACAAGACTGTGTGCCACGTGCCTCATCTCAGAAAGCCCTGCTCATCAAACATAGGGTTGCCACCTGCCTCTTTTCCGTGCCTCTTTCATTTAGCAGACAAGGAATCACTAAGGTTGTTAACTGACAACAGCAGCACTTTCCAACCTGACATGAGATGTGCAGCATTCCTACTGCAACAGTCCCTTTCAGATCCAGCAGCATTTGAGGGAAAGTCTAAAAACTTTCCTATTCAAGACCATATTCCCCTTGACGGCTCCTACACACAAATGCTCTTGCAGAGGGAGAATGCAGCACTCTGGCCATAAAACCCCTTTGCCTGGGCTAATGGACAAATCAGAAGATGACCACTGGAGTAAAGGAGAGAGCAATCTTTCAAAGAAACACTGTTAAACGTTCTATGTTGTACTGAGTACTTCTTAGCATCTGGAGATGGAAGAGCTGTCTTTACAATCAGATTCTCATTGAAGAAAATGAAGATCTCTGATGAACTGTGTCAAAATGATCAGCATACTGCCTTCCCCTTGATATGATAACCTTTAAAGAGCAGTAGTCCTGCCCTGAAAATTTCGGAGCCATTTCTACTCTTTTACATGTAATTTATACAGACGTGTTATTCCAAATTAGTGCAGCCCGGTAGACATTGCTCCTCAAAAGCTGCTTTCTCCTGAAGACTGCAAGAGTCATTCTTGCAATCTTGGAATTGTTCTTTCTTGTACCAGTAAACACCAAATGGTGGAAGAAAAAGGATTTTGTTCAGCGTTTTATTCAGAGACAAAGCAAAGCAAAATTTAAGTAAGAGCCTGAAGAATAGAGAGGAACTTAAAAAGTGAAAGCAGAAACAGATTAGCTTCCAAGCTGCTAAGAATCCCTTGATGTCATAACTTTAGTATTTTCAAGCTATAGTTTCTAGAAATTTCTTGAAACATGCAGCATTATTGTAAGCGAGCTCACACACACAAAAAGCCATTTTGCACTTGAATAGATCACAGTGACTTAAAATCACCAGGTGTTATTCACCAAAGTTCTCAGCAAGATCTTCCCTTTACCATCTCAGCTACAGTCATTGTCTACAAACACCAACCACCTTTCCCAGTGTGATGCATGTTGGAAATCCCAGCTGACGGTGTCACGGGGCTGCCCAATGCACAGAGCAGAACTCCTGCCCCGTCTGGTTTCAGCACAGCCACATCTCTCCACACTTTCTTACCCACCCTGACTACTCATTTTCCCATGCACATCCCAGCTCTGAGAGCCCTCATCTCGCACCACCACGTGACTGAGCTCCACGCTGCCTGCCTGGGTCAGTTGTTTGGATACCATTAGATTGCCCTGACTGAAAGCCCTAATGAGGTGCTGATCCCATCATCCAATCACTCGGCTGAGCCCGAATGCATCCCATGGGACAGCCAGAAAAGACTGATGCAAGAATTCCAAGTGATGTGTAACATGAAAGGGCGCCATTCGCATCGCGAGGACTCACAGCCTGTCAGCACGGCCATTAGAAATCCTGGGCTACACAGATTTATAATGCAACCCTCCCACACACAGAACTTGCTCCAGACTGAAACTTGGCACAAAATTCAGTCCCAGGAGGGTGTTAAAAAAATAACCTATTCAACGGTTTTCCATCCCATGGCTTCAGCTCACAGCCATTTAAATAATGGCAATTTCTCATTTCTCTTTTTAACTGAGGAAATCCAATACAAAACACCAGATTTACATAACATTGCAGTGGTGATACAAGCTGGCAACAAACCCAGGGAGAAGGTTGCCAGAGCTGTTCCGTCATTCTCTTTTGGTGAATTTCTCCACTTGGATTCCGTTTAATGCAATGATTTTTGTTAGGTCTGGCTGACATCATGTGTAATCTGCAAATCCCACCTCCATGACGGTCAGTCAGCTTGCCCTAGCTTTGTACACCTTGTGTGCTGGTTAGAAGGGGACAAGCCCTCCTGTGGTCACCACAGCCTCTCACTGGTGCTGCCACTGTTAGTTCTTTGCTGCAAACTCTGCTGGCTAAATTAGAGGACAGCAATTAGTTTCCTATTGAGCTGCAAAAGACCGACTGGACAAGGAATGGACAAAACAAAGAAGGGAACTGATGCAAGCCAAAAGCAATTTGTCAGTAGAGCCTTTGATTTCACCAGAGATTGTTCTGACAACTGCCACACCTGCTTCCAGGCAGAACGACAGACCCAAGCCTTCTGTGGCTGCCGCCCTTTCTCCACCAAATATTTCAACTCCTATGGGGGTTATCTGTAACCATGAGTTTGTCAGCAGAATAAAAATCCTGCAAATTGACGCAAAGCAACAAACACTTCTTAATAAATATGTTGGAGTTCAGAAAGTCTGCAGCAAATCATTGCAGTGAGCACAGGCCTTCTGCTCACCACCACTCACCCAGAGAGGCCTTTGATAGCACATGTGGGATAGCCAGGAGCCTGTCACCCACAAAACAGATCATCTGCTGGGTGGGCTACTGGCCCCCATCTCATCACCACCAGCACCACCCCTGCTTTCCCACGGCATACCTGAGACACAGCTCCTGCTGTGACACTCAGCTGGAGGACAGGACATATCACCCATCATCACCAAAGCACCTCAGTAGACTTTTCCTAATTGTTATATAAGTCAATAAGTAGCCCAACTATAAAATGCTATGAGAAGAAAATGAAGATTTGTATCAGTGGTCAACTCCAAGGCATATTCCCTGCTCTTCAGAGAATTACTGACTCAAAGGTAGTTTAAGTCAGTTTGAACTCTCAGCTGCTGTCAGCAAAGCTGCAACAAGATTCTCTGGCAGTCAACATCAAAATGCTTCTTCCAGAATGGGCAGGTAGGTCTAAAGTGCCATTGTTGCACTGACTCTCTGCATGTACTACACCACTTCCCTCAGACCAGCCTCTGGGGTCCATGTTCCAGCTGTGAAAACCTTTCTGGGTTTCTGTGAGTTACATGTACAGTATTTCTCTCAAACAGGGGGGAAAAAAACACTGAGCCCAAGGGAACACCTAAGCTTTCAAAACAGAAAAACAAAATGGAGCAAACATCTGCAGAACCACCTTCTTCTCCAACAGCTGCACAGTTCTCTCATTCATACCTTGTCCTTTAATTCCAAAGGGGGGTACAAAGTCCCTGATACGTGCCCATTTCCTGAAGGAATCATCCAAGAACATTGGTGCCGGCTTCGAGAACCTGAGAAAACCAAAATGAGAGAGAAATTAACTCCTGAACTAGGAAGGATAAATTTCTGCAGGAAGGTTGAGAGAATCCACACCAAACTGCTGATTCTACATTCTCACTGGGATTACAGTAATGTGGAAGATTTTACTTTTACCCAAAGGTGACTGCAGTGAAACAAATCTGCCAGAGTTTGTGCCAGGAGGACACTCAAATCACTCAAGTCATGACCTGGCAATCCCTTCCACTCAACAATTTAGAACTTCCCCTCTGTTGTCTGGCTATTACTTTAGCTACGATAAGTTGTAAATTGCACCCAGAGTTTAGGCAGCTTTACTTCCAACTTTGTAAGCACAAGACAATGTATGTGCTTGACATACATTGTTCATGACACATCCACGCTGTGCTGCTCTGTGCAGGTGGGAATGCACTGGGCAAACACCTGTGGAGAGCAAGACTGGGGTTACCTCCTCTCATGGCTGCTCTGGCCTCACTCATATGCATGTACACAGCAGTTATCACCACACAGGCAAGAAAGAAAACAGCTCAGGGCATCATGAAGCAGCTCTTGGTTTACAGACAGTGGAAATTCAGTGAGGAGCTGGGTATTTTCTTCTATGTTCAGTAACATATAAAAGATTCAAGAGAGGTCCTTGCCAAACCAAACAGTGATCTATCCAGAATCCCTTACAAAAGAGAAACCTAGTCCTTCTTAACTGTGTCATTATGGAAATACATTATTGAAATACATTGTCCTAATTATACCATCAACACACAAATACGGCAGCTACTAAAAATTTGTCTCTTCTAGAAACTTAGCACAGTGGCCAGAGAGAAAGAAACAATTAGCAAATAGAGAAATATTACCTTCTTATGGGACCATTTCTGAATGTATCAAGACAGAAAGTATGCTAATACTACTAAAAATCTTGTTCATTCACTCATCAAAAACAGTAGCAGGGATGTCCTGGATCAAAATCAATCACACCATTCTACAGAAATTAAGAAAGGAACGTACCACATATTTAGAGTCAGAGAGTACATCTCCACTACAGTGCAAGGTATCTGCTTCTGAAACAGATCCAGCCTGGATAACCTAGGCATGGGACTGGGACAGATGTAACCCACAGGTTGAACTCTCTCTTCAGGCTGTTTCTGTACTCACCATGCAACTCTGGACTTGAACTATCTGAATTAAGACAGATTCATCTTCACTATGCCACAGCCAAGAACAGAGCAAGAATTTCAGACAGCAGCACAGTGAGGAAAGGATGGAATGAAATCTGACTTATAAACTGCTCAAAGTAAAGTCCTGTTGCAGATGCCCAGGAAATCACAGATTGCAAAAATCTCTGGAAAGGGGAAAGAGAGTATTTAACAAAACAAGAAGTCTTGAATTCACCCATGCATACTGCTTCACATCCACTCATGCAATCTTTAATAAGATCATCTATAACCATAAAAGCAAGATGCACAGATGACATGGCTGATCTAGAAGGAAAGGAATGTCTTTGCAGAGCCGAGAATACGAAAGGATATACACACTTTACCTGGGAAAAGGTGGGAAAGAGGTGTTAAATAGAGCTTCTGAAGCTCTTAGATAAAAAAACCCCACAGGCCTATTTAAAAGTAAATAAATCAATAAGAACAATACAGTATTAATTGTAATAAAGTTACTCTGAAAATATCCTAAGAACTTCAACAACCCAACAAATTAGTTCAATGTTTTCTCAGACATTTTGGTGCACCAAAATATAATTATTATGTTACACTGGTGGGTCTCCAGGGAATTATCTCCACCTCCTTCCAACAGCAACAGGAGAAATCTTTGCAGGACTCTCATACAATGCAAGAGCTTTTATATCCTGAAGGGCTACAGCAGAGATGTTCACAGCTCTTCCTTCACAGCCACCAGTTGAACCTATAGCAGAAGGCAGGTCCCACAGAGTCCTGTTCTCCCCAGGCAGCAGCTGCAGTGAGGGATGACAGCACTGCCTGGGGGTCACAGCCCTGGGGCTGGTTTGTCCTGTCACCAAGGTACTCCGCTTGCTGCTGTGACATGCAACCTCCAGGAAAAACCTGGATGCCTCAGGAAATGCATATATGAGCAGGTTTTATTCTCTTCTCAAGAATCAAGAGGATTCCCTACAATAACGCTACAAAGTAGTGCAGCGTAAATAAAAAAGAGCACTGGATGAGAAAGAAGGTACGGGCTGCAAGGTCAGGCCTAACTCAGAAGTTGGTCTTATTTACAGATGCAATTAACTGGCCAAGTCACACACAGGGAAAAGGCAGCTTACAGCAGTCTGACACAGAGTAAGGAGTGCCTCTCCCTAGTGCAGATTCCCCCTTACAAGGTGCTGGTGAAACAAGGAGGGAACTCAGACCCTTCTAGAACTCCCTGGACCCCAGGGAAGTTCCCAAAAATCAGCTGAAGCTCAAGCACGACTGATCTGATGCTCTATGATGTTCCTTCTGCTTGGACCAGGGGACCAAACTGATGCCAAAGAGAAGGGTGAAATGACCATTAGCCTTTTAATCATACTTGCTAGAAGTAAATTTAGCGATTATTCTAGCAAAGAACATGACAGCCTTAGACTAGCTACTATTATTTGGCAATATTTAACACTACTGTACACAGAGCCAGGGAAATAGACTTTTAATTCATAGTTTTGCTTCATTTAAGAAGGAGGAGGAACAGCTTTGGGGAAATATTATATCCATATGGGAAAAAAAGGGAGCAAATTAGAGGATATTTAGCTCTCATAAATCTTGAAAGAAATTCCATTTTGGAAATATTAAGAAATCATAACTGCTGTAAGCTCATGCACTTTGCCACCTCAATAAATCAGAGCGGGCCAGAATCGAAGTCCAGCAGGGACAGGGAAACGCTGCCTGCCAAACCTCTCCGGGAGCGTGGCTGCTCTGTCTCGGCTCTGAACCCGGCTGGTGTATTCCAGGACCCTTCAGGAAGTATCAGGATATGCCTCAAACAGGCCATGGGAATGCTCTCTGCAGAGCACCTAAAATACATTCCAAGGAATGCATGGGAGTTTGTCAAACAGAAACAGCAAATGTTTCTGAATGATGTTAAACTCTGTATCCACTGAGGCAGCTCGGTACAGGACGCTGCTTTTTGCCTCAGTTGTCTGCCAGGACTATCCTAAAGGCAGGTTGGCTTCACCAGCAACTACTATCCAGAACTGAAACAGGGCTGTGCTCCTTCAGAAACAGAGAAAGGGAGAGTTTTGATTTTTCAGATTTAAATTCTAAGCACTTCCTCTCTATCCCAACCCAGCTCCAGAACAGACATAATGCAACCTCACTGCACATGACAGCCTGGAAAAGACAGAGTTTGGATGCTTGCAGCACACACCTATGACCTATGTAATTTGAGAGAGAAATGCCAAGCATCTAAAATCTCTAGTTTGAATGGCATACCCTGATAAAACACAAATGACATCTAAATGGACTAAATGCCGGATATGGTAATTGTGAGGTATGCACCCAATCTCCCCCAGCTCTCAAGTCTGAATTCCTCATACAAAAACATTAATAAAACCTCCAACACAATCTGTCACCAAGCACAGTGAAAGGAAGTGTGCTGCCAAAAGCTGTTCTTAAACAGGAATCTATATACACAAGAAAATGTGATATATATTTGTGCCTTGGGGATTCTGGCTTATGTGACAAAACATTACATTTCCAATTATTTCCCCCCTGATAAGTAGAAAGAGTTGTGACCCCAAAACATTTCTACCTGGAAGGCTTAAAAAGCCTGACAGAAGCTCCCCAGCCAAGTTTTCCAACCATTCTATTCTGTCCCTGATACTCAGATCCATTCACAGCTACTCAGATGTGCATGAAGTATTAAGCATGAGCAGAACAAACTTCCCAAAGCACCTTGCAAATCCTAGACTACACTGCTGCTATTCAAGGTAGCTATTGAACAATTCCAGACATTGAATCTTGACTAGAATCTGCTCCCTACTCCTATCTGCTGCTTTCAAGGCAATTAATACATAAATGTTTGGGAGAGAATAAGACACATATGACAGAAAGTAAAATAAATAAACTGATTGATGTGCCCTTGGCTTTAATGAGGAGAGAGGAAGACAAGGTCAAGTCTCTGAAAGAGTAAAGGAGAAGACAGCACCACATTCCTAAAAATCACAACACTAAGGAAAGGCAGATTGGCAGCCACTAAGCCCCACTGTGGGCTTATTTCTCAGATATTTCTTTTTTTTTTTTTCCCCTCCTCCTTCAAGCCAACCTGCCCTTCTGTTTTTAATTTAATTAGGGAGAATCAGCATCAACAGAAAAGTGGAAGCCAAAGGGAAAAAACCAAACAGTGCTAAAAACCTAAGGTTGTACAGACCCTGCACACTGCATTTGTAAAGGGGCCCAGAATAACTTTTTTTTTTAAGCCACACAAATAAATGACTTATTTGTTCCAGCATGACTTCTGTCTTCTGTTTGTTGATGCTCAAAAGCATCCATGGTTAGACAGAAGGCACAAAATCTACTAATTTTATTAATAAAATGGATGAAACACAAGCCAAAGCACTCGAGCACTTGAGCCATTAGGTCTGACAGAGGCATTTATAGAATACAGAGAGAAAATCTAAACTAACCTTTTCCTTTTTCCCTAGTGAGACCTAGGTGTATGCTCTCTCCTTGCCTCCCTTCTCTGGGGAGCAGCATGGTATGACAGCATAGGAATGAGGAGGTTTGTGATGCCCCAATTTCACATTTCTTATTGACATTAATCCTCTGTCAGAAATCCAAGCAGCTCAAAGATTCCTCGAGTAGTTGAAAAATTTAAGAAACCACATTAAAAAGGATTAACCCCATCCTACAATCAAAATACTACTTCTCCCAACAAGAATATCTTTAACAGCAGAGATCAGGCCAAAAATTAAGTTGATCTTAGCAAACTGCAGAAATAGTCTAAAATAGAATATTACGGTGAAGACAACTTACCACTGAAGAATGGTTGGTCACTGCCATGTGGG